CCTTTTTGAGGGCCAACAATTTCAATACACTTTTACTCTGTGAACCAGGTCTGAAACTTCACAGGGAAAATAAAGTTAAGCTATCCAAAGAGCCCTGCTCAGGTCTCCTCCTAACCCTTCTCTGCCTTCCCTAGTTTTCTTCTCCTCAGGTCTGACACTGAGGAGGGCATAGTCTTAAACTGAAGTGGCACTACAGTTAGTTCTCATTGGAAACCAAACCAGTACATTTTGAGAAACTGCTTGCCTAAAGTAGTTGATGCCTTTGAAAAGACTTAGCATATTCAATGTCTATCATATTGTAGCTAGCTATATACATAGGCAGATTGACTATTTCTACTCCTGGTTTGTATATCACTGAGCTATAATAGTTTGCTTTATCCATTTGTGGGATTAAACAATACTGTTTAATGGTTGTAAACTTTTATAAAACCTATTTGGGTTTTTTGTTTGACCCAAACATAATGTAAGTCTCAATGACAAAATACACAAAAGCCAACCAGAGCTGAGTGAAAATATATCCTGTCCCATTTTATCTACCCCTATAATGCAGGTGCAATGCTTTGAAATGTTCTCACTAGCATGAATGTGCTATGACTTCTTAATGAGGTTTTAACGTCTCACCTATAATCATGATTGAAAATGCTGTATCACTGACAACAATGAACTGTAACCACACTTATTTTCTGCATAAACTATTTGTCTACTAACTACTAGTGCCTGTGTTTCTTTAAGAACATCAACAACAAAAGCCATATCACACCTACCTATACACACTCTAGTTCACTTCTAAAGACTTAAATTTCTATTCTTAGGGATTTATTTATTTATTACATTTATTTATTTTTGAGAGACAGAGTGAGACAGAGTGTGAGCAGGGGAGGGGCAGAGAGAGAAGGAGACACAGAATCCAAAGCAGGCTCCAGGCTCTGAGCAAGCATTCAGCACCGAGCCCGACATGGGGCTCAAACCCACAAACCGTGAGATCAGGACCTGAGCTGAAGTTGGACACTTAACTGATTGAGCCACCCAGGCGCTCCTATCCTTAGGAAATTTAAATAAAAACTACAAAAAAAAATCTGTCCTTGGAACTTTGCATCTTGAGATAAACTATAAGGAGAAGGACCTCTCTGAATGAGTTCATCTGAATTTTATCATAATAAGTATATGCCTTCTACCTTTGTATACTAACACAGCTCCAAGTGCTAATCATCTTGTGTTTTCCACAGGGCTGGACTGGGCCAGGCCTCCACTCATGGGCCAGAACTAAATAAGGGCTCAGGGCCCAGGCTTAGTTTCTCCTTAATAGTCTCAGGGACACAGAAACACTATCTATCATTGGACATTAGCTACAATATCAGAGCTAGAAGCAGTCTGGCACCCTATACTTTACAGAGAAGTCACAGGTGAAATGCTCAGCTGCATCAACTCCATCAAGCTATAGGTGTGGGACCTGAGGCTGCAAGAACTGAAGAGATTTGACTAAGACTGAACAGGGAGTTAATGGCAAAGCCACTACTGGAACCCCAGGCCTCATTGCTCTCAGGCCAATGAGCCCTTTATTACAGTGGTATATGCTCTTCCCTCAGGGTTTTTGGGAGTTTCCTACTCCCACCCCAACCTCCCTACCCAATGCACAATCCAGGCCAGTCTCATTCTAAAGGCAGAGATGAACACAGTTGCTGCAGGAGAGCCCAGCCTAAGCCTTTGGAAAGGGCTATTCAAAAATCTGAGAATATTTCTTTTATCATCTTTTTGGGACTAAGAGTGCTAATCTCTCCTTATCTTTTTCCTGCTTTCTTTCACATTTCTCATGTATACATGTATTAAATTCTTAGAACCAAATAGGGACCTGGTCTTTACTGGGCTAGGGAAGGACAGAAGAGGAGTAAACAGTTCCTGTCTTCTAGAACTTGCTCTCTCATGAGGAAATGAGGCACACCTACAGAATACATTAATAAATTAAGACTTTCTTAGAGGGCAGTGGCAGACTGAGTGTTTGGAGAGTGGTATTCAAATTCCAAGAAGTGACAATTCAGTATCCAATGCCTCTCTCTAGTAATTGCTGGGAAATCAACTAGTTTGACCATTTCCTTCTCTAGCTCACCCCTCTGGCCTCAGGACCTACCTACCATGTTCCAATTATCCTGAACTCTTCACTGGTGCCCCAACATCCCATATTCTTTCTTATCTCCTCCAGATTTTTACCTTACGGCCTCACAGACATCTTGAATAATCCCTCTATCTTAGCATTTGTCATTTTTATAATTATGTTGGCATGCAGATTCCTCTACATAGAAGGGAGTTCCTTAGAAGCAGAAATGTTCTTCATCACTGATAAATTATCAGAAGGGGTAACTCTCAATTACTGTTATTGAATACCAGTATAATCTATATTTCCTTCCCTTGTTTTCCAGTTAAAATGTGTAGAGTTCAAAGCCTTTTTCTTTTTTTTTTAACTTCTTTAAAAAATATTTTATTTATTTCTGAGAGAGAGAGAGAGACAGCGTGAGCAGGGGAGGGTCAGAGAGAGAGGGAGATACAGAATCTGAAAAAGGCTCTTTTTCAGAGCTAGCTGTCAGCACAGAGCCTGACACAGGGCTGAAACCCACGAACTGTGAAATCATGACCTGAGTTTAAGTCGGACGCTCAACCGACTGAGCCACCCAGGCGCCCCACCAAAGCCTTTTTCTAATCCATATCTGATCTCTAGTCAGAAGGAAAAGGTCCAAGGGCACTTGCTTCCTGGCCAGTCCTCCCCTACCCCTTTCCCTCACCTGACTCAACCCCTGGCCCCACCATCGAAAGTAGCCCTTTCCAGAGACCTGGCTTCACAAATCCCAGGTTTCAAGACTCTAGCAAATAATGGCTTTAGGCTCTGGACCTGGACTAGAAATGAGCTCATATAGTCTGTTTCTCATCTTTAGGTCAGTCTTTGAAAGCCAGAGGAAATCACTTTGTACTAAGTTATACAGACATGAGTACTGGCATAAATCCACACTGCTCACACATGCAAAGCATGGTACATTTTAAAGAGCACTTTCATATTATCCTTTTTTTCTTTTTTTTTTTTTTTTGATCCTTACAACAAGCCTGTGAGGCAAATATTACCTTCCTACAGATGAAGAAACTGGTATAATTTACCTAAGGTTGCCCCATAAGTGGTGGAGCTCCCTGGAACCCAGGTTTTTAGGCAGTTTTTTTCCTTCCTATTCCAGTGCATCTAAAACTTCAGCATGCATTAGAATGACATGGTGATTATTAAACCAGATTTCTGCCCACCCTTAACCTTTCTGATTCATGTCAGTAGTGGTGTTCAATAATTTGCATCTCCCAAGTACCCAGATGATGCTGATGTTGCAAGAAACTTGGATCTATATGCTATTAACTTGTTTTGTGCTGTTGGACAAAACCTTTCTCTTTTTGTCAGCTTCAGTGTCTCAATGCATAAAATTAGGGTGTTAGACTAGTATGATTTCCAAATTTTTGGCAAAAAATTCTTACATACAATACCAATACATACATAATATATAAAATCCAGGCTGCTTCAGAGAAGTGGTGGAGGGGAACCAAGTGTTTACAGCACCTATCTCCACACAGAATAGGTGATGAGCTACCTCATAGAGTACATGTTTGTAAGTCTCTTGACTATATGTGGCCTAGATGTTCTGAGGGCTCCTGCAGCTCTGACATTCTGTGATGCCGAAAGATAGCATTTGCCATTGTGGCAGGGTGGGAAGATTTAGAGGGAAACTGACGTTGTGTAAACCAGTGCAAGGGACTGCTCTGCCCAATCCTAATGCTTGGGTATACACAAGATAGGAAATCTTAACTCTCTTGGGCTGTTGGACTGATGGACCCTTTGATAATCTTATTAGATCTGTAGGAGAGTTGTAGAAGAATGATTATACACACATACATCACAAAAATATTCTGGATATCCTTTAAGAGGTGTTGGGGATTTCATAGGGATCCTACCTCAAGTTAACATTTGACAGTGCTCTGGCATAACATTTCCACTAAATTCCTCCTTGGCATTTTCACAGCATTAAACCCTCTCCTTCCTTTCATCATTCCTTATCTCAGCCACCCCATGGGCCAACTTCTTACCTGGAATGCTGCCTAGTTCTGTCCCTTGCTTCCCCTTGTCTGGGCCCGGCTTGGCCCTGTAGAGATGCCCACTCTCTTGCTCAGCTATCACTCTCCCCAGAATGGATAATACCATAGCCAGACTTGACCTCAACTTCCACCCTGAAAATATCACCCTGAGAGAAACAAAGAACTTGTGGCACACCAGAGCTCCCTTAGGGCACTTAGTAGAGCATCAGGTTATAATTGGCAACTTTTGTCTTTTCTCACAGGCAGAGGGCTCTAAGGGGCGTGAAGATGATTTATTAATCCCTGTCTCTTGGCTGCTCAGAGCTGACACAGTAAGCACTCTTGAGTGTCTAACGGAATTGGGTGACCACAGAGAAGGAGCTCTAGGTCAGACCCTAAGATAGTCTCTGGCTCCAATGTCTATCACAGTAAAGTCCACTCTATCTTTTCTTGGCCAAAGGAATGGAAAAGTAACAAAGGGTTCTCTTTGGTTTTCAATTGCTGTTTAGTGCCCAGTGAGGATAAGCAACGAAATGAACCAGAGGCCTGCTAGGTAGCACAAGGAAGGCCTGGGTCTTCCCACTGTCAGGGAGGTTTTGAGCAGATTCACCTGATGCTGGCTGGGTTCTATAGCCACCAATGCCTCTCTTCTGGAGCCTAATGCTTCCCAGTAAGCTAGCCCCATGCTACAGGTGAGAGAAATGAAAATGGTTTGAATCAGGAAGAAAGTATAAGTGGGGCCTTGTCATGAAAATGACTAGGGGTAGTGGGCCAAAGGGGCAACAGGACCAAGCTTCTGCTTAAAGTCGTGTTATGATCCCACCTTCTCTGGCCACCCTAGAATAAAGGGAAAATTACACTGGTCTGCCCCAGCACACACCCCCTCATCTTACAAACACCAAAACTAAGTGTTTATTGTTTATTGTTTTTCAAAACAAAATTTTAAAAAACCCAAAACAGTCAAAATTCCACTCTGATGGAAAGCTGAGCTGATACGGCTGATGTGGACTCTCTCTCAGGTTGTTTCATGGAGCATCAAGTGCACTGGGGGAGGAGCAAGGGGACAAGAGGGCCAGGGAGTGGGTTGTTGCCTCAGCAGGGCTGAATAAACACTTTGTACCAGAATGGGTATCAGAAGAGCTGTAGGCCATTTTTGAGTCCATGCAGCTGGCCCTGGCTCCAGAGGAGGCCCTCCAAGTTGTTGCTGCTGTTGCTACTGTTGCTGCAGTTGTCACTTCCCACGCCACAGCTTAAGCCAAGGGTGCTGTGGAGAGAGGGGGGAGGGGTCAGTCTGAGAAGGGGGCAGCTTTAAGCTCTAGAAGGGTGCTTGACGCATGTGTGTCTACGGAAAGGGCCCACCCTCCTGCCTAGTTTTACAAAGAAGAGTATGGAACAAATCTGAAAAACTATTTTCAGATGTAGTTTTGCCTTCCCCTCAATTGAGATGGAGGGAAGGAGTAGAACTTTTGAAATGAAACTTTATTCAGAGCCCCGGTATATAAACCAGAGCAAAGCAGAACTATATCACTTGAGGTAGGACAGAGGGCCCATACCAACCCACCTCAGGAAGATATTGAAAGTGGCCACCTTAACAGGTCTTTTTCCAAGGCCCTAGATCTTGGGGGCCCAGAGTACCCTGAGCTGGATCCCTCCCACCTCCAACAGCTGGTTAAGGGGTCTAAAGCCAGGACTGGGCTACAGGACTAGGCTCAGATCCCATCCCAGGATTGCAAGGTTGCTCTAGGGAGAGGACTGCCTTCTCCCTCCCTGGCACTGCTCAGAACACTCTTGTTTCCCCTGCTTCCTGTAGATCAAAGGTCCTTCCAGGTAGATAAGGGTGACAGCTGATAGCAAAACCATCATCCCCTCAGGTAGATCCATGGTTACACTACTGCAGCTGAAAAAACCCTTAGAGATGATCTAGTCCCATCCCCACCCATCGTCCACTGTACTCCACAGACAGGGGAACTGAGGCCCAGAGATGAAAAGGGACTTGCTCAAGGCCACAGTTATGTCAGGGGTGGAGCCGGAGTGGCATGCTTGCTCCAGCAGAGGAAGCCTCCCTACTACAGGAGGTATGGGAGCTGGGCCCACTCCTCTTCCTTTTGGAATTACCAGCTCCACCTACCCACTTTTGATACTGTGATGCTCATCAAACCAGCCTTACTCAAGGGGAGACGAGGTCTCTCAGACATGTGGGCCCCACTCCCAACTGTAGACCATCTGGTTTCCCCAGCTGCTTCCTCTCCTCTCCAAGAGCCTGCTGCCCCCTGGCCTAGGACAGAGAGTCCATAGCACTGCCTTGGGCCTGGCCTGCTGCCGGGGACCCTAGGTTCTATAGCCCTCTTCCTGAATGTCCAGATGAAGAGGGTCTCATTTTCCAGGGAGTAGGCTGGCAGCACAGGGGAAGACTCTCAGTTTCAGGGGCCCACAGGGGTCTCTCTCTGGTTACTCACAGGATTCTCCTGGTCAAAATGGCCTCACATTCTGGAATGTACAGGCCCTCTGGACGGGCTCCTTTGTGTTACCAGCAGAGACCCTCAGGAAGGGCTGCTTGGTTCCTGGCTCCCTGATGACCCAAGGGCTCCCATGCCTGTGATCCAGAGGCGAGTTTCGAGGGAGAGCATGGAGCCCTGCACAAGCCTTGCTACCAAGATGCCCGGACAGTGTGGGAGGCCTACTGATTACTCCGTACACCTTTGGACAAATCCCATCCCCTTTCTGGGCCTCAGTTTTCTCCTCAGGAACATGAGGAAGTTGGATTATAGCATCCGTTCTTCACCTTCTGGGAGTGGTGGACCCTTTAGAGAACCCAAGGAAAGCTATGGAACTCTCTCTTCCCAAAATGTATGTGCACACATATATACACACTCCCTCTCACACGTGTGTGTGCATGTGCATACACACAAACACACACACACAAACTGGAAGCAGTCTGAGAGGGGTACAAGCCAGTTTTGTGTGGCTACCTCAATACCATCTCCCCACCCGCAACTAGGGACTGGGAGTCTTGGCAAGGGCACGGCCAGGGACTTGAGCTTATCCATCATTCATTTAGGACCTTACTGGGGGAAGCTACCTCCCCCATCCATCTCACTTTGTGTCCCTCCTTCCTGCAGGAGGCAGAAAAAGGGGTAAGAATTCCTGCTGCCAGTGGCACTCACCCAGTCTTGCATGTTGGGGGTTCCAGCCGCTGCTCTAGCACAGGCTGGTCGAAAAGATACATGGTGTCATAATTCTCCAGCATAAGCTCCGCTGGGTCCTCAGTCTGACCTGGCATTAGGCCTATGGGAAACGTATCCCATCGTACATCTTCTGTGGAGCCAAGGGAGGAAGCAAAAGTGGGTTGATTAGCTAGTTCTGAGTGGTGTACAGGCCTAACTACATGGTCTACCCACCCATCTCACTTTGCGATCCCAGCCTCTCTGCATGGGATTTCTGTGCATGTCCTGCCTCACTCTTGTCTGCATCATTTCTCATGAGCTCTTCTCTACCTTCATACTCCCCACCCCTTCCATACTCTGCTATTCACTCTTTATTGCTCTTCTTCCCCTCTATGTGTTCACACACACCCACACATGCCACCACAACCCACCTCGAGTCCACACATGCCATGCACACAACTGAAAACATATTTGTTCTCCCACCTCCCCAGATATGTCCCAAACATAGACACAGACAAGAACAACAACTTTAGACCTGGCTGTATCACTACCTCAACCTCTCACCTGCTCTGTATACACATATATCCTGGAGAGTCTGGATGCCCCAGAATTTCCACACCTCATCCCCAAAACCAGATACTTCAGAGTATGTGAAAGGCCTAGATTTCCTGCACATCTACACACAACCCCCAACCCCAATGTATTTTAATGCCACATTATTTCTTAGAGGCCTTGCATTGAGACACACACACACACACACACACACACACACACACACACACACACACCACCTCAGAGTGTACTCTCTCAGAGGTATTATACTCTCTCTGCCCCCTGAAAGGTCTTACTGGCCTCAGATGTACAGACAAAGAGCATCCCTTATCTAGGGAAGGACTGTCTTATTGCATATCCCACTCTCCAATGCCACCTAAGTATACACACTTAGGCATATAGACTGACCCTCCATTCAATGAGTGCTCCCAGTTTCACTCCCTGCCTCCTACACTTCTCATTCACAGGCATAGAAGCCAGTAATCTTAATGTCCCTATACCCCCAAATTGTGCATACCCACACAGGAGAAGCAATGGAAAGAAGAAGAAAAGACTTTAATATCCCAGGCTTTGCACTTTCATAAACCACTCCTCCACTACCCCACAGATATTCCACTTTAGAATAAATCATATTAGGTACAACCCACCCCTCTGTCCTGCCACTTAAACACCCTTTACGTAGTATTATAGTAAACCCTCATCCCCATTCTTACACCACTGCATCCAATGTTTTTAAGCAAAGCCTTTCATGAGCTCCTCCAAATAGGTCCAGTTTCTGGCCTTCTGTATCTCTTGGCACCACAAAAGTTCTCTGCCATAATACCTCTGGCATTCTGGAAAGTATTAACCCAGGACTAGCTTTTTATGTTACCCACAGAACCACACACCTGACTCTTTTCCAAGAAGGAAGTTGTGCCTATCTTAATGTCCTGTGTTCCCCTATAAATACAAAGATACCTTCACACACAGGGACCACTTTCCCCATGTCTATCACTGACCTGACTATCTTCCCTCCCCTCCCCATAACTAACATCCCCAACCCTGTCTACATCACGGCCCTGCCTCTCTAGGCTGACATACGTGTACATGTCCCTCAGTGACAACACAGACACACATAGGCTACCTCCGGATGGCTGTCTCAACTGTCTTTCCAAATATCCCTCTTCCTCCAAAACATACATGACCATGTGTGCATCTATGTACAGATGCATAGCATCTACTTCACAATGACTTGCAGTCCCTATTGTCTCCTTCTCACATACTTATACAATTCTGCCTATGTCAATGCCCCTCCCCTTGAATATTTACAGAGATCTCAAACACAGCCCCCCTTGTACTAAGGAGTTCTCTACCACCATGCTTTCATATGTGCAGCATGTGAAGGCACATAAATAGACATAAACATGTTCCCCTACCCCTAGCACCCAGTGCCTTTATGCCCCAGACCTTCCACACACATCTACACAAGAGCAAAGGCTCTACCTTTCCCCCTAAGTTCCTTCACTGTCTCCCCATCTCTTCCTATTATTACCTAAAATGCCTACCCTATGCCACACCCAGTCCCAGCTGTTTTCCTTCTTTCTTTCAGGTTCCATCATACTGACTGCCCTGTATCTACCCCTGCCTCCATAGTATACTCATACACACATGCCCACACACACATACACCAAAATGTTCATTCCTTCAGGATCTCCCTGCCTCAATGTTCCTATTCCCTAACCTAAACAAGGCACTCAAAACACATCCCTCAGGAAGAACAGATTCATGTACCCCCACTTCCTTATCACCTAACCCTTTCTTTCCCCATCTGGGCTTTGTCCCATTAACTTGTATGCTCACCCCAAAGCGACACCACTCCTTTTCACTCTTCTGACTTCCGTTTCACTTCCTCTAACTTAATACCTGTTTTCCTTCTTTCTCATATAGACAGCAAAATCTTGTCTCATCACCACCCAGCCTCCATGTGTACATACACATTCACATATATATAGAAAGCATTTGTCTACCTGCTCCTGGATCACTGAATACAAAAAACACATGCAGAATTACACATTTCCACCCACCTCTCGCTTTCTCCTCTGTATTCTGCTGCTCACTACCCATACTCACAACATCCCCTCTGAATGTGTTCTCTGCATGAAGCATACAGTAGCATGACAGCTCTTATGGCCCTGAAGCTTATACACTGTCTTAAAGGGGAAGAAAGCCAGGTGCCACTCACACACCAGGCTGCTTCCCAGGCTTGCCTCACACTGGCTACCTTCTGCTACTTTCCATCTCCTTCAGGGCAGAGGGCTCAAGAGTCAGCCAGAGAAGGAAAATTGGTGTGAGAGAAAGTGGGTATCAAGCTTCTTACCAGAGCTAATTTGCCATGCAGAGCCCTGTAGAGCTCCTCTTTTCTGGGCCAGGAGCCTGGCATTCTCAGCAGTGGGAGACTCCTCCGCAGTAGAAAAAAGCCCCACCTCCATTCTATCTTCCTCCTCCTCCTCTTCATCTTCATCATCATCATCATCATTTTCATCCTCCTCCTCCTCCTCCCACTTCTGGTCATCATTTTCCTCTTCCTCCTCCTCCACCTGATTTGCCAATACCTCTTTCTCCTCCTTTTCATTTTTCTGGAGATCATTAAGGCTGCCCTGCTTCTCCTGCTGCTGGGGTTCTCCTTCAGGTCCAAAGCTGGAACCATCTGGTTTGAAGCTCCAATACAGGCTGTCCACTGTATATGGAGACTTCCCAATGGGGGAGGCCTCTGAGCTCTCCTGTACTAGGCTGTTTTCTCCACTCTGGGTATAAATGGAACAGATGCGCAGCAACTTCTCCTGCTCCTCATCTGGCAGCACCTGTCCCATGGCTTTGAAGACACTGAGCAAAGGAAGGGATGCAGTAAGATTCAAAATCTCAAGTCACTTTATACCCCAATACTCCATGGTTTGAACTTTGTCAAAGGCAAAGGCAGTTTCCAGATCTGCCTCAGAAAGGAAGTGCAGAACAAACAAAAACAGAAAAGGCCCAGGGACCCTGAACAAGTTCTATGATTCATCTCTGTGGCTCACTTCAATTCTCAGTAAAATGAGAAAAATGGCACTTGACTTGTAGGGTTGTTGGGAAGAGTAAAAGACAGTTTACATAGAATGCCTGACATAGTGCCTGGCACATAGTGAGTGGGCATGAAATAAATGATAGCTATTAGTCTATACTAAATGCTGTGTAAATACACAAACTAGCCAGTATGACCTACAAGGTTGGACATGGGAATGGCAGATCCCTCTCTTCCAATGGCTTAGCTGAGCAATTTGTCCTGAGCTCCAAAGATATGCCTAGAAGTGTGCTGAGCTCCTTCCGCATGGAACACAAAATTTGAACCCTTTTCAGGAACAACTAAAGCCCAGCCTGGAATGGAGGAAAAGAAAAAAAAAGGCAGCAGTTGACAAGACAAAGCAAGATGTGGGGGAGGGGAGGGGCACATGAGCACTACAGACCTCGGGCACTACAGGAACTGGGGAGAGGCAGAGAGCACAAGGAGGGCAGGAGAGATCAAGGGAGGGCTTTGTACAGAGACAAGAGTGAGCACGCTGTACTGTGTACATGTAGTATGAGTAACCTGGCTCCAGGGGAAGGGCTGTGCTGGGGAGCTGTGGGAGAAGTCTACAAAGGTTAAGTGTGCATGTTGGGTTGATGGGGTCACCTGACGACTCTGCACAGGTGATGGCTTCACTTCTGAAGATCACCATGGTGTCTGTGTGGAGGATGGCCATGTGGAGGATTGCCTAAATGGGGCAGCCTGAAGGCAGGGAGACCAGAGAGCCAGTGAGGGTTGACCTAGGGGACTGACTGTGGAGACGAGGAGAGAAGCCATGAAAGACAGAGAGCAGGGTTTGGTGGCCGGATGGTAGGAGTTGGGCAGAGGGGAGTTAAAGATGATGACAGTGTGCACATAAAGAATGGTGCAAACAGCAAAACCACCAACAGACACAGGACCAACAGAAAGGAGAGCTCCTGGGGAGGAAGAAGATGAACATCCCATGTAGAGCCTCATATAGAACCAGGTACCTGGTCACCGCTGGAGACATGGATGGAGTGGACAAATGTTTTCCTTCTAGGGGTATTGAGTTTGTGAACTGTGGGTCATTCATGGAGGTTGCTATATATTCAGCAGGCTCTTTGACCACATATGATCTCTGGCCACTGGGGGATAGGGCTAGGGGCTAGTGACTACTGGGAAACCCTTTCTGGAGGGTTAATTTCATACTCCAAGAGGACACTGGCTCAATCTGAACTGATATTGGCTGGCTGGGAGAAGCTCTTAAAAAGTTTCCAGCCTTGGAGAAACTTGGGGAAACACCTGGGTGTCTCAGTGAGTTAAGCATCTGCTTTTGGTTCAGATCATAATCTCGTGGTTTCTGGGTTCAATCACCACATTAGGCTCTCTGCTGTGCACAAAGAGCCTGCTTCAGATCCTCTGTCCCCCCCTCTCTCTGCCCCTTCCCCACTTGTGCTTGTGCTCTCGCTCTCAAAAATAAATAATTTTTTTAAAAATTAAAAAAAGTTTCCAGCTTTTTTGGAGGAAAGGCCAGAGAGAAACTCACTGTGGTCCATTAGTATGATTAATAATGAATATTCCTAGGTATTTTATATTGGCAAGATGCTGTATCACCACTGTTTATTATTACCCACCTGCTATCTCAAGCTGTCTAGTCTAACCACTTAAGTGTTTAAAATGCTTCTCTCTCCTTGGGTTTGCTTGGTCACAGGTCAGGTTGTGGAAAGAATATGGACTTTGGACTCTGTCTCACCATCAACAAACTGTGTGACTTTTGGATAAGACACTTCACTCCGAGTCAGCGCCTCAATGTCTGTCTTATCAAATAAGACTGTTGTGTCAAATGAAATTTCTTCTACAAAAAGCACAGCATCATGTCTGACAGTTATTTGCCAGTGGTATCTTTTATTTTTTTCCCTCTCGGGAAAACAAAGTCAACTTCTGTATATGCCTAGTAACATGCTTTTTGCAATTGTACAGTCTAATGGAACATTGTACAAAGAGCACAGGGGTAAGGACAGAATATCTGGATTCTGGCCCGAGCTCTGTCTTGCAGACTTACCATTGACTTGCAGCATAATAGCTAGGGTAATCCTGTGTCTCAATCTGTGTATTAGATGATTAGGACTAGATTTACTGATTATCTTGGAAAAGCAGAATCTGTGCACAAGAAGTCGTACCCAAGTAAGTTGCTGTTACTGCTGGCATGTGTCACATCCCTCTGGTATGGTTGGATTGGGAGAAGATCTCTGTGGTCCAGACTTCTCCTCCAAGACCAGCAGCTTCTACTCTGCAAGCACTTAGGATTGGAAAGTACCTTTAAGGTCACCTATCCAAACCTCTCCATGCTGCTCTTTTCATTCCTTCCCCCTATTACCTTCACATGCCACGGTCTTTCTAGACTTTGAAACTTTTATTCTTTTTCCTGTTGGAAATTGCTCAAATGCTCTGTCTCTCATGCTTTCCTGAACCCTCCAACTTTTTTGGTTCTTCTTCCAGTGTCCCACCCATCCATATCACTTGCATTTAGAGCATACACATCCGTTGATTTGGCTGTTTGGTTCAGTTCCATCTCCTGGAGGTCTTGCCCGGGCTGACTTTCTCTTTAAAGCCACATTTTGTTTTCTTTTATAAGCTACTACTGTGCCCCAAATGCCATCAGGCTTCAAGAGAGACTTGCTGACTCTATGGAGGGATCAGGGACTAAGAGGGTCTTGGCATCCAGGCTCCCACTTCACTTAGTCCCCAGGCACACAGTTAGCTCCCACCAAAGACAGCACTGCTGTCAATGAGACAGCAAAGTATAGTTTAGTTCAAGAATGTTTACTGAGGCCTATTTAGGGCCTGGATCTGTATGGTGTGTTAGGGCACAGATGGCCAATACAGAGCCCTTACCCTTGAAAAGCTTAAGTCTAATAAAGGGAAGGAAACACTATGGAAAGTAGACATGGTTACACAAAATCTCAGGTGTTGGAAGTCAGCATGATAGCATAGATAGTGATGCCACTAAGTGAGATAGGAAGCAAAAGAGGATCACTTCGGGATTGGGGTGGGGAATAACATAACCAATTCTCTTTTGGCCTGTGGGTCATCCACAGGAAGATGTCTGACACACATTCAAATATAGGAGGCTGAATCTTGGGGGTAATGGACTAGATAAAGAGATTTGGGCCTTGGTACTTTATAGGAACTAGGAAAACAGCACAGGCATTTTAAGAAGGGAGCAGTAAATAGCTATAATGCAGCAACAGAGAAGGACTCACTGGATTTAGTAATTAGGACATCAAAGCAGTTTTAGGAGTAAATGTCAAATTATAGCAGGTTGAGGAACAAGAGGGTAGTGAGGAAATCAAGACTATTGAGAGCAGACTACTCTTTTGAGATGTTTTGATGGGGGCAGGAAGGAGTGATAAGCTGGTGATAACCCAATACAAGCGTGCAGGGTCAAAGGAGATTTTGCTTGTGTTACAATTGATTTAAGACCAAAAAAAACAAAACAAAACAAAAAACTGAGGCATGCTCATTGGTTGAAGAGTAAGAGTGAAAAGAACAAGGGAGAGGCAGGGGTAAGGTCCCAGTGATGCTGGCAGAGGTGGCTCCAGAGCACAGGTGGAAGAGCAGGCTTTGAGGTGGGATAAAGCCACCTCATCCTGAGATTGGCGAGATGGTTGAATGTAGCCACAGATCAGTTCACAAGGGTTGGACCTCAGGTTGAGGCAGCCCTGCTGGATGCTTGAGGAATCTAGGGTGAAATGGGAGAGGGGGAGGGGCTCGAGGTCAGTGGTAATGGTTTAGAAAAGTCGGGACATGGGAGAGAAAGTGGGAAAAGAACAAGTAAAAAGTCTGACAAGCAAAACTGAGGCCTGTCCTGAGATTAAAAATCATACCGTTGTAATAGAAGCAATCCATAGTGCTGTGTGGTTTTCCAGCAAAGCTTAGTTAACCAGTCTGAGGAATGGGGGAAGCCGAATGGGGAGGATCAATCCCAGCTCAGGGGTTTGCAAGTCAGATACACCAAAGAATGGGCAGAGCGTAGGGTCCTGATCATGAGTGGTTGAAGTAATCAACCACAGACAGGATGGAGGGGAAGCAAGGTTGAGGGAGACAGGAAATGGAGGAATGAAGCTCTGGATGCAGGCAAAGGGCTAACATCATGGGATGCAAGGGTGAGAAATGGAAGGACGAGGTATGGTCACTGAGAAGAATGTTGGGATCTCAAGTTTTAGAGGCAGAGGAGCTCTGAATGATGGCAATGGGTTGCTGAGTGTAGTGGAAAATGAAGGTCACGAGCTGAAGAGCTGAAGAATATTAGATGGGACACTCAAATTGAACAGTTATTGCTCCAGAAAGCAGGAAGAGAATTGTGTGCTAAAGGCCTCCACAAATATGAGGAAAGTGGCTCAGGGTCAAAATATGGGAAAGAAAAGGAAAGGGAGACAATCACAGGTATTTACAGGAACCAGTGCAATATTCAGTTTGACTTAGCACCCAGGGTAGAATGAGTAAAGGGGAATCACAGGAGGTATGGTTACCATGATAGGTTGGGGCAGAATCTAAAAGATATCTGAATGTCAGGCTAAGAAGCCTAGACTTCATCAGAATGGCAATAGGAAGCCACTGAAAATTAGTGAGCACCTATGAGAGGCACACTTTGGGAAGATAACAAAGGAGAACATCACTGGGCTTAGAGTCAGAAGACTGGGTTCAGTAATAAACAGCAGCTACCATTTATTGCACACTTACTCTGTACAGGCCACTGTGCTAAGCACTCTGCGGGTATAGATTGTCTCATTCATTCTCACACTGGACTCAGTTCAGCCAGATCTTAAGCTATGTGACCTTAGGCAAGAACACCATACCCCTCCTAGTACTGGGACTCAGATATCCCATCTGTTAGTAGCAGGGGAATGGGATTCAGAGTCTTTTGCAAGGGCCCTATCCAACTCTGCCACCCTAGGGCTGTGTGGCCCTGAGGCCAGGGCCTCAGTCTCTTACCAGAGGGAATTCAAGACACTTACAGCTGAAGGAGTTGGGAGCTAGCCCAGCATGGTGAGCCCAAACAGGACTCAACCACCCGGAGCCAGTCAAGGGAGGCAGAGCAGTTGAATAGCCTCCAGCTCCTTCTTGCTTCCCACTGGCTTGCAGAAAATCGGCGGGCATTCCGTCCTGAGAGAGAAGAGAGGGTCTGAGGAGAAGGAACAAGTAAGCCCCCCACCCAACCTTATATACCTTTAAAAATTTGGCTCTGTCCCTCCCTATTTCCCCAGACTCCCCACTCTATACCTCCCAATTGCTCAAGCATTTAGACCCTTTTGTTCCAGACCAGTTTAGTTGGCCCTGAGGAAAAAAAAAAAAAAGCTGCAAGATTTGTCTACTGCTATTGTGGTGCCCTCCTGGGCAAGCCTAAAACTTTTCGGCTGAGAGCTGAGAACAATGGCAGATGCTCCTGCCTGGGCTGTATTAGGCCCTGAGACTAGGGCCAGACTCTCTCACCAGTCTTGGTGTTAGCCACAATCAGTTCAATGGTCCATCTGAGGATGTAGGTGGGCCGTATCCCGCTGTCCCCCAAGGCTGGCAGCTCGGAGAACATCCTCTCTAGCAGGGCCTGTGTGAAGGTCTGAGAATGCAGGCCCCTGAGCAGGGGCTGCCAGAATTGGGAAAATGGCTTTGGCACCAGGATGTCACTCAAGTCCATGTTTTCTGGTTTGTGAGGAATATAGGTTGATAAGGAAAGGGGAGGCAGGGGCCGATGGGAGTCAGGGAGGGAGGAGAGGGGAAAAGGCAGGAGGGAAAGAAAGAGAGGGAGAGAGAAGGTGAAGAGGAAGGGGAAGAGAGAGGGAGGAGGGGGGCCCACCAACAACAAAGTTGCCACCACAGAACAGAAAGAGAAGAGCAGAACAGCAAAGAGAGAAACAATTAGTATCTAGCAACCAACTGATTCAAAACAGAGTATTAAAAAAAGGCTCTGGTTCTAGCTTCAGCTTTGTCAATAACTCACTGTGTAACTTTGGGTCAGTACCTTCCCCTCTCTGGACCTCAGTCTGCCCATCTGTAACATGAGGATGTTGAACTAGATGACCTCACAAGGCCTTTCCAGTTCTGCTGTTGTAGCTCACTACCAAGTGACTAAATCACAATTAACACAGCACAATAATAACATTAAGACTTCTCCCAACCCATCCCATCCCACCCCACCCGACCCAATTCCGGGCCATCTAAGAATAGCCCAGCAACTGAGTATCAGTGGAGCTGCTTGTTCTGCTCATCTGAGACAGGCTTCCAGAGGCTATGGAATGGCAAGAAATAGCCCTTGCCTTCCAGTTCTGGACCACCCAGCCACCAAGAAACACAGTACTCTAAGACTGAAGTAAGCCCCCAGGTCCATACCTTCATAGTCTATCTGCAAAGCTGCCAACTGCTCAAATGTGGGGATAAGAAAGCCATCATCCAGAAAAGCATCCAACACAGCTTCCCTGAAGCAAGATGACAATTAAGCCAACTGAGCAGATAGAAAACCCTCTTTTACTCCCCCACCCGCCTCCAAGGCAGTTTATGCCTCTGGCTCAAGGGGGAAAAGCAGCATGGGGGGAAGCAAAGGCAACTGACAGTTGGATCTCATGCCTCAGCCTTCTGGGATAAAGGATGGGCCAAGACTGGGATCAGTGGGTTCTGAACAAGCATTTACCAAGCACATGCTGTTCTAAGGCCCATAATGAGGGCAGTAGCAGCTAAACAAACCTGAAGGCACAGATGGAGAAAAGTCCCAGGCCCACAGAGGAATTAAATGCCTAGGGTCACGTAGTCAAGGGCTTTTAGACTTTAGCTACTACTCAGTCTTTCTGTTTCTCTTGACAGTCCTCCAGTCTCTTACCCTTCCTCTTTTCCATGGTTGCCCTCTTTCAGATCCTAGAAGCAGAAACTTTGGGGACTCAATTGCTGAAGCAAACATAATCCTTAACTCAGGGACCTCAAGAACCTAGAACTATGTTATAGAGGTTGAAAGTGTAGCTTTCACTTCATGTAGCTCAAAGTGAAACCAACAAGAGCCAGCTGTATTCTCTTGAGTGAGCAGTTTCCCCAAGAGAGGTTCTCCTAGCTGACCAGGCCTAGAGGGGGAACATGAGTTCCCAAGGTGTTTCAATGCCCAGAGGCACTGTCAGATCATGTTGTAATGCTCAGATCCTTCCCTCCCCCAGGCTTAAGGTGGAAAGAGTTCTCCTTCCATCTATCTCCCACCTACTCAGGTCAGTATCCAGGAAGAGCACTTAGAGCAGGCAGCCAGTTGCATGTTCAGCATAACCAGGCAGACACTATAATACAGAGGTACAGGAATAGTTGTCTCATCTGCTGGGGGGGGCCCTTGCTGAAGGATGCGAAGAAACCTAGGATGGGCAGACACTGATAAAATATCTTTGGAACTAGTAATATCCTGGGAATGAAGAAGACTCTAGGGGCAATCCCAACCTGCATTGCAGGCTCCCACCCAGGCTCACCCTACCACATATATGACTCTCTGTTCCTTCCCTGATTCCTTCCAACATCTTCTTAGTTTGGAAAGTCTAGCAATGCCTCCAAAGGTTCTTAGTGGAAGGTTCCCCAAAGTCCTTTCCAGCTAAATTTAGGTAGCTAGAGCCAAGAGTTAGGTAAGAAAGGAATGGATAGACACTGTTTGTCTGCTCTGGATTGAACTGAGCACTATTTGGAGGATAGGGAGGAAAGAAGGCTCATGGCCACACTGAGCAGGGAAGGGCTTCCTCTTTTAAAGAGCCAGACCCTGGGAGGGCCTCTCCTTTGTTCCCCTAACCACAGCTATCCAAGGCATACTAATACTCCCAAATTGCAGTTCAAAAATATCAGCAGTGCCCACCATATCTTTGACCTCAAACTAGGACAACGGCTAGACAGTGAAGTGGTAAGGAGATGAAAGACTTTTCCTACTTGCCCAGAGCTCCACATGCCACTTGATGCAGAGGAACAAAGCTGGCCAGGGAACTGATGACAGCAGATATTCCTGTCTCTGGTCATTTTAGTGATTCAGAGTAGGCAATCTCTACCTTGTAGCTGGCAGGGCCAGGGGAAGGGGGTCATGCAGAATGCAGGTCACCCCACAGGGAATCAGGATTATCCCTAAGATTTCCTTATAGCAAAGGTTGGAAACTAGGATATGGAAACCTATTTCAGTGAGGCTGCTAGAGTAGGCAGCCCCTGATTATCTAGTTACACACCTGTTCTCACATGTAATACCCTTGAGCTCTGCCAGGATGCATTCTACAGGTGGAGACAGGTTGTTCCATGCCTTAACAGCCTGAGGTAAATGCCTAAATTTCTCTAGCACCTGCCAACAAAGAGGTTAACATCAGAAAGGTGGTTCAGCCAGGCAACCCTCTCCAACCTTCAAGGATACCTTCCCATAGGACCTCTCAGCACCTCCCTTCAGGGATAAGACCACAACTCCTCTATTGAGCCCACAATTAAAAATATCCTGACCTTCAGGGGTGCCTGGGTGGCTCAGTCAGTTAAGCGTCTGACTTCGGCTCAGGTCATGATCTCATGGTTCATAGGTTCGAGCCCCACGTTGGGCTCTGTGCTGACTGCCAGCTCAGAGCCTGGAGCCTTTTTTAGATTCTGTATCTCCCTCTCTCTCTGACCCTCCCCTGCTCACGCTGTCTCTCTCTCTCTCAGAAATAAATAAAACATTTAAAAAATATATCCTAACCTTCAAATGCTAGACTTTATTTTCTTTTTCCACCTCTCTCCCCCTCTTGAATTCTCCATGGCTCCCAATCACCAGAAACACCAATACTGAGATGTATTTTGTTGGAATTAGGCCAGAGACCCTTGGGCCCAGGAATTAGGGGAAGCAATGGGTTATGGAAGAAAGGGAATCAGGTGACCAAGATTCGAATTCTGGTTCTATCACTAACTGCATATGTGACCTGAGGCCAGTCCAATCACTCATCTGTGGTTTCAATTTCTTCATCTGTGAAAAGGGTCAAGCTGAATGGTTTCTAAGCTACCTTCCTTGCTGCTAAAATAGCAACCCTCAAGTTCACCTGATCTAGGAAAGTTCCTGGGTGCCCTCTGCTTATCAGCTGCTGTACTGTGGGACTATGCAACCAGCTATGCCCAGTTGTTCCCTACCACCCAGTGAAGCAGATATCCACCAACTTCCATCATCTGTTCTCTTCCATCTGTTTGAAGGGTTAGCCAACTGGATACTGCTTCTCTTGTTTCCTTCCTAGTTCCCTCCCTCTCTTTCTGAGAAGTTCCCTCAAGCCCTGCCACTTTTCTTTCAAATTCCTTCTCAGGACTTCTCATGAAGGTGACAAGAAGGAAGAAATGGTTGGGGCAAGTGAAAATACACAAAGTCAAGGGTGCTTTCTTACCTTAAACTGCTCCTCTTCATATAATACCAGCAGTTCTCGAGCTCTTTCTGAAAACAGAATACGAAAACACATAGGGCAGCCCAGTCCTCTGTTCCTCATGGGATTCTGAGTCCTTCTCACCTCATTTCTTGAGTTGCAATATGGAAACTAGAATTCTTGCCTCTCCTACTTCACAGGGTTCAAGAGAAATGGTTTGTGACAGTAACTTTCTTAAGCTAAAACTCACCACAACCCCAGAGGATATGCTGAACCAGGGAAATAACCAGTGTCAACCCTAAGTCTGAGTCTTCCAGGCTCCTGAGCCCCTCTATTACTGCCTCTGCCCCTCAAGGACACCTACCATATAGCTCTTTATGTCTCAAAGCCTTTTCCCAATGTGAATCAACCTCTTTGTTGCTTTCACTGTCTCCAACTCTGACATCCAGTTCTGCACCTTTCCCCTTATCTTTAGGCTCTGTTCTCTGTTCTGTGATGTCATCAACAACAATGTTTTTATCTTCCTCTTGGTCTTCTTCATCTGTCTCTTCCCTATCCTCCTCCAACTCCCAGGTTTCTCTCAGGCTATTCTCCAGTTGGCGGCACCAGTACGTCTTCTGGAGCCAATTCAGAACAAAACAACAGCCTAAACAAGGGGAGGAAGAAAGGCAATGTCATAGGACTAGCCACAGGCCAACAGCTCCTAGCAGGCCCCCAGTCTCATCTTATAAGCATTATGGAAAGACCCCAGGGAAGAGGCTTGGCTCTATGAGGGCACAAATCTCAAATATCTAGAAATAACCCTTCTTACTCTGGTTTATCTCCCTGCTCTTTGCTTTCTTCTGCTCACCAACACCTTTCCTAGAAGAAACTAATACCAGTATTAGAGATGGGATGCAAAAATAACATGGGGCTAGCAAGTGAAAAATTAGGGAACCAGACCCACTAGTTAGTTACATGGCCTTGGCTGAATCTCTTCCCTTTTCTAGATCTCAGTTTCTCCAACATGAAGGGGTTAGGCTGAATCAACTGGGATGGGGTTCATGAAACTTGATGGTTCACACCTCTCAACCTGCCCTCCATTCCCCTCTTTAGGCAGAAAATTTAAAGGGATGCCAAAAAGCAGAGTAATCAAGATATCAAAACAGGATCAGAATAGTGTCCTGCCAAGCCATAGTGAAGTCTGAAGCAAAAAAAAAATGAGTAATAGTAATCCTGTCTTTATTTATTTTTTGGCATTTTGTTCACTGTGGTTTTTTCACATTAAAGTGTTATTTATCTCGATTATTGAGCTTTTGACATCCTCTTAAAGTTTGTGCCCAAAATAAGTGCTTCACTTGCCTCTCCCTAGTTCTGGCTCTGATACCAGTTAAAGACCCTCTCCCCACAGTGCCACCCATCCCAGGCTCCTGAACTTAACTATGATAGGTATACTTCCTCAAGACTCACCTCTGCGGCAGTCATTTATATGGGGCATTTTCTTGTGAGTCAACTCATGTCGAAGTTCAACAATCCAATCTGGAATGTTAACCTGATTGTGAGGAACGGTGTGAGTACAGAAATTAGACAATATTAAAGCTGGAAGGGACCACAAAAATGAATTAGCCTGGACTCCCTGCATTTTACAGAGCAACTGAGGTCTTGAGGAGGTTCCAGTCTTAGTGGCAGAGCCAAGATTATAAACAAGGTCTCCTTATTCTTTTTACTATTCTGTAGGGATGATTTTCAACATCAGAAAAGGTCATCTGCCTCTTCCAACCACCAATGACCCTCTTCCAATAAAGAGATTCCTATGAATGAGCATTAACAATCACCTCCAGCCTTCCTCTGCCATGTCTGTATTAGTCTGAATCCCTGGGTACCCTTTATCCTTCCTCCCTCCCTCCCACACCCTTTTTCAGGAAGCTTCTCTTGATGACTGAGAACCTGTCTGCCCTCTAGGCCTCTACACACCTCCATACTCACTCAGGGCAGGAATGTCAGGCATTTTCATGCTGCTTGGCTGAGCTTTTCTCCTCTCTCAGACTCTGAGATTCTAGAATGCAGGCATTGTGACTGCTACCTCTTTCCTGTCCTCACCCAGTGGAGCATTCCAGTGCTCCATTCACAAGCTGGACTGGACAAGCCACTGAAAATAGCAGCCATGAGCAAGGGAGCAACTCTGCTTCTTTCAAGCTGAGGGCTGAGGCTCTGGGTTCTTGCTTGGCTTGGCTGGTAGTGGTGGGATGAGCTAGTCTGACTGCATGCCCACATCACCCCATGCCTCATTTAGTGAGCCTTTCTGGGGAGAGAGAATTGAGTAAAGCGATTTTGTCATACACACCTCCTGAGCCAGGAACTTGAGAGGGAGCTTGACAAACTTTGTCTTCCTCTCAGAGATGAGATTCACAAACCTGGGTTGGGGAAGAAATAAGTGGCACAGACCAAGGAACTATTTTGCTCAAACAAGTGGGGCTTCAAAACACCTTGCTGAGTTACTGACACCGTGCATTTCTGCAACCTTTCCAATAACTGTTCTTTCCTGTTCTTATGACTGGTATCAGCCAGCATAGGGATGTCTTCCCTGTACTGGAGCCATACAGATGAATAAGACACTGCTGTGGCCTTGAAGAGGTCAGTCCAGGATAAACATTCATGACATGATATAACATACTATGCTAGATCATATGTTATAAATGCTAAAACAAAAGACTACCTACATCAAATGATATGGGGAGCCCACCTCAATGATGGATAAGGTAAAATTACTAGGGAGGACCTCTACACACACAAAGGAAACAGTAGGAGAAGAGCAGACTCTGACAGATAAGAAAATTCAGTGGCAGCCTTTTTCCTGATGTGTATGAAACAGCTAGAAACACTCTAAATTACTTTGTAAATCAGGAACTCCCCTCCCATATGTTCACTTCAATTCAGCAATCTTTCAGCGTTCATGGACAGAAGGGGAAAATCATGGTGCTAGGTATACATGACGGAAAGGTTGAAAAGTCCACATTAAATCATGGCCAAGAACATCAAACCATTCAGAGAAGCTCTTGTGGGTAAAGGATAAGAAAAAAAAATCAAATTGTCAAAGCTGGAAGAGACTTGTTGAGATCACTTGGTCTAAACCAATCCTACCTCACATTCCAGAATAAGAAAGAAAGAAAAATGGGAGAGAAGGCTCCCAGGGGAAAAAAAAAAAAAAAAGAGGAATGTGTGTTGACAGGGGGGCACCAAAAGCTGTCAAATCAAACAACCACAGGGTGACCCTTACAGAAGGACACACAGGGCTTTTTGCTTCAGGTAGCACCTAAAGCCAAGCTTTGCTTATTAAGTGCTACCCCCACCCCCACCCCTTTACCCAACCCCACTCCTACCCCTGTAGGTCTTACCTGACCAACGCCATGCCATAGAGCAGTCTAAGTTCATCAGTGCCCAAGCCACCAGTTACATCCATGAGTTTACAGCGTACCAGGTCAGCAGTAGAAGCCACTGCCAGGGGGAGCTCGTTGCCTAACCTAAAGGGCCACAGTCCAGCACCATCATAAAGGTCCCTTACCCTGGTCCACCCTCCACCTCAGAACCTAGGTTGCTGTAAGCTATTCAATTATATAACTGTACTGGCTCAAGAGTGCATGACAGGACACAAATCAAGTGGGAAGGGGGAGGATAATGTCCCTAGGATCCAATAATATACAGGGCATGAGAGGCTGGCTAGGGTATACAAAGGACACCTAAGGCAATCAACCAGAAATTAAGTGTGGGCATATCTCTTTCTTTCACTCTACAACTTCAACTCATTCAGTTAGAGAAGCCCTTACCCTTTGCTCCCAACCAAATCTTACCAACTGGACTGAGGTGCCTCATTCAAACATGGTTTTGCTAGCAAGCACCCCCACCCCAGCCGAATTCAACTCAGAAATCCACCCCAGTTTGTTAACCTACTCCTTAAGCCCTGGCTCAGCAACGCTGGTCCCTACAGTACCCTCCCCAAGATGGAAGAAGGTAAGGGTTAAAGCTGGCATATTTAACAAGAGGGTGATTGAGGCACATCCCCACTTTCTTTATCCAAACAGGATTAGTACCAAAACTTGGCTGCTTGACTTTCCCCCAGGCTCTTGGGAAAGGGGCAACGCCCAAACCGCTCATAAGGACATTAGGCATTTAGGAGAAGACTGCAAAATAGGGCCTTTATAGGAATCCTACAAAGGAGGAATGAGGTGCCACCAACACGCAAGAGGGGTGAGGCAGCCTTACCTACTTCTCCACACAGTGATGCGGTTCAGGGCGTACCGCTGCAATTTATGGTCGTCACAGAACAGATACACCATCACCTGATCCCATTCGGCCCTACTGAGCCAGGCGACCACGATGCGCTGGGCCCAAAGTGGTGACGACCCTTTCTCTTTGACGCACTTCCCGCACCACGCACTCCACACGCGATCCATCCCCTAAAGACCCACACCTGGCCAGGCCCCGGATTCCCAACGGACACCGGGTTTGGCTGCAGGCCTTGCGCTGGACAGCAAAGCTTTCAGTTCAACGTGCTACCCTCACTCCAAACCGCCGCCCTGCCAGTAGCCAATGGAAAAGCGTGACCCGGACGGAAGCCCGCCTTCCAGAGTTAACGTGGCAAATCGGAACACGAGAGCTGGGGTCGACTTAACCACAAATTGGGGTCACAGCCTCGCCAGCCGGAAGTGTTCTTTTCTCAAAGCAACCGTATTGGCTTCTATCGTTCAGCCTCAAGGTTCCGCTAATTTCCTGGTTGCTAACGGGCTTCTGTCCCATACTCTGAGGACGCGCGTTTAACCTGCAGGAGGGATTTTAGTTTGAGCGCTTTGGCAGACAGGGGAAGGATCGTGGTCGTCCTGTGTACTGGGAATGTGTTTGTAAGTATGTTTTCATTACCATGAATCAGCACCTGACCCAGAAAAACACGATGGACACTGAAGCATGACTACAGAGCAAATATTGAAATATTTAAATTTGGGTTGAAAAATCTGCTGGGTGTTCTCATCTATGCATTGAAGGGCTGAGGCTGGGTGATCTCTAGGTTCTCTTCCATAGCTGGAAATTGTAGGATTTTACTCACCCAGCATTCCACTGCTATGTTGGTTTCAAAATCCGCATAGGTATACTTAAGTTTTTCTGCATAATTCCTTAGGATTCTGGAGTTGCGGGGAATGGGAGACAATTTTATGAATCCCTTCGTACTTTACAGGCTGGCTAAAATGTGTTTAGGGTTGTGTTCTAATCTTTCTCACAAATTATTTTCCAGTCTAACACCCGAGGAAGGACTACTGATAGCAGTCTTAACAGCATTTCTGTGAGTAGCAACGCAATCCAATCCAATCTCCATATGTACTTTCTCCAGCCATTTTCTCCTAAGATGTAGTATTTTCACATGGTTCTTGAATGACAGTTACTCTGTCCTGAGTAGACATACCAACCAGGAGGCCAAGTGTCTGCTGGAAACTAAATACCCTTTAAACTTCAGGATCTTGGCTGCATACAGGCAAAGACAGGGAGATGGCTTATACGGTTCCTTGAGATCTAATCCAGTCAGAGGAGCTGCCAAATCTGAAGTAATCATTTGTGAACATTTTGGGGGGTTGGAGGCTAGTTTTGGATAGGGCTTTTCCTTAAACACCCGTATCCTTCCCCTTTCATTCTCCATGAAGTTGATGGTCTCCCTATTTCATGTGTTCCAAGAAAAATTGACCGAAGTACTTAACAAGAGTACCATGTCTAATATGTGACAAATGAAGCTTGATACCTGTTGAGAATTAGGGATTAGTGGGTCAACAAGTTTGTTATAAAAAAAAAAAGTTTGTTAAGTAGTGATGGCTTTGAGGAGTTACTATATTAGTTTCTTGTAGCTGCTTTTACACATTTCCATAAACTTGGTGGCTTAAAACAACCAAAATTCATTATCTCACAGTTCTGGAAGATAAAAGTCCAAAATCAATATTATTTACCTGAAATCGAGGTATTTTCAGGGCCATAGTCCCTCTGGCTACTTTAGGGGAGAATCCATTTCTTGTCTTTTACAGCTTCTGGTGGCTTTTGGCGTTCCTTGGCTTGTAGCCACATCACTTCAGTCTTCAAGGCCAGCATCTTCAAATGTCTCTCTGTTCTATCTTCATTTCACCTTTTCTTTGTTTATGTAAGATCTCCTACTACCTTCTTCTACTACATGTGATCACATTCAGAGCCAATCTGCAAAATCTAGGATAATATCCCCATTTCAAGATCTTTAATTTACTTCTTTATGCAATTAAATTTTTAAACTTATTTAACCATGTAAAGTAGCATTGTTCCATTTTATTTGTTTATTTTACCATAGGAAGTAACAGTCACAGGTTCCAGGGATTAGCATGTTGATGTCTTTTGCTTGGGAAGAGGGGTGCTTTTTACAGCCTACCAGAAATCCTTCCTTGTCACATGTTCATGAATTCTAAAAATCTCCAGGCATATGGTGCTGCAGGACACCTCCAGCTGTACCAATGGGCTTGAATTAAACAAGCTCTCTCCAAATCTCAGGCATTGCCTGTGAAATCTTAAAGTTGATCAAATTTGTCTTCAAGCTACTGCTTCCCCTTGTTTGTTTCACCATGCCCCTCCTTCTAACTCCCCACCCCTACTTTTGTGCATCCCACTCACCTAAGGCAGGCCTGAGGCCCCTAACGAGCACATACCTGTATGTTGATACCCTTCAAGTCTCCAGCTCTGCCCCTTTCTCTGGAGTTCCAAACCCATTTAATCAACTGCCTGCTATGCTCAGTATCAACCTTTCCACAACTAAAATACTTTCACCATAAATATGACCCCCCTCCTATATCCTTTGATTCTAGTAAAAGGCAACGCTATGTACACACTCATCCAAACAGAGTTCAGTCTTTGCACTCAGACTGCTTGAGGTTGAATTCTGGCTTCACCACTTACTATCTGAAAACTTCAGCAAGGTATTTAATTTTTCTGTGGCTCATTTTCTTCATGTGAAATGGAGGGGAGAAAGCACTTACCTCACAGAACTGTGTGGATTAAAAGAGATAAGTGGAGAGCTCTTAGAACCATGTAGGACATTGTAAGCACTGGAAATATTAGTCTATATGTTATTAACATTATTCTCTACTATTCCGCCTCTCCTTCACCTCCATGCTGCCCTTCCACACAACTATCTAGTAAATTCTATTTACTATGTTTTTGATCAGTCCACTCCTTGACATCCACTGCTCTAGGTCAGGCCTTGGTTCTCTATGAATCATGTACTACTCCCCTAATTGGTCTCCCTGCTTCCATCCCTTACACAATAGTTTGATAAAATGGAACCTCATCTTGATAGAGTCATAAATTCCTGGATTGTTTTCCTGAAATAGTAAGCATTAAATGGCTTTCCTTTGGAAAGCCAAACCTACCTCATGTCCAGTTATTCCTTGTAACACACTGAAGTTACAGCTTCAATGGATCAAACCTACCTCATGTCCAGTTACAAACACATTGAAGTTACAGCTTGTCTCTGAATATGCAAACCTCTTGTAAGCCCTTCTATATTATGTTAGCACTATCTGGAAGGCTTTCTTTTTTTCCCTCTTTTTGGCAAACCACGATTCATTCTTTAAGATTCAGGATCCTTTGTCAAATCCAGTTTTCTGAATCAAAGTAAATCTGTCGTGTCCTTCTCTGAACCCCCACGCCACTTTGTACATCCTTCTATTGGAGGAAGGGAAAAAAAGAAATGCTTGCTGAATGCCTACCATGGACTATGTTAAATGCTTGAAAACATTGAACTTTGAGTGCTGGGCTCCAAGAAAGCAGCCACAGTTGAGAAACTTTATCACCCTTTTGTGTTAAAACAACAACAAAAACCCAGCTAATTGTAAAAGGACCACATTACACTGGCATATTTTAAGATAAGACCCTATCCATACTTCCTCATGACTCCTGTAACTGGTGATGATTCCTTTGTTCACTTGCCTCTATAAAACTTTCTTTACTTTTATCAGTCTCCCTATGTCTATAGCCTGAATTCTGTGAAATTAGTTTTGTTCTTATTAGTTTACAGATGCGAGAACCAAAGCTCAGCTGCATGGCCTAAAATGGTACCAGTAAGAAGGAAAAAATGTGATTCTGTTGCAAATCTGTGTGTCTTCAGCCTAGGCTCTTTCTGAAACTCTCAGACATGGGATGTTATTTACCTATTTACAGGTCTGCTTCAGACCAGGAAACCTTCAAAACCCGGGCTATCCAGGGCCCAATTAATCTTAATCCTTGTTTCTGTATGAATTCCTGAATAAACCATGTCAATTCCCACTGAGGTGAGGTGAGGTAGTAGTTTTGCAATGTTTCTCCCTTTCTTTTTAACCTAAGCCTCTTTTTGAAAAGCAGGAAAGATAAATGTCAAAGACTGGAATTTTGAGCCAAAGGAGAATTTACATTTTACATTTTAAATGTAGAAGAAGGTGTTATCCTAAGGAATGGGGCCCTCTGAGGAATTTCAGGCCTGATGAGGAGGGACAGTTGTGAAGAGGGGGAGGGTAATGTCCCTTCCAAAACCTCCAGCTTTCAAAAGCCCTCAGTTGGCAGAATTTCCTCAGAGAAGTGGGAAGAGAATGGAAACTCCTCATTGTCCACTATGTCACATTTATTATTCTACCTCAAGATCAGGTGCTGGGAGGTGTTAGCCAGATAACATCTCAGGTTAATTGCCTATTTCTGTTATAGGATCCTCTCGAGAATCATAATATCCTCTCAATGGAGGAGGCCCCAGGGGTCATCTTATCCAGTCCCCTGACAAAGTAGATTGTATCTCAGTCAAATGGGAACCTATGCCTTCTTAAGGATTTATTTTAGACACTAACAGTGCTCACATAGGACAGTATTATTCCTGTCGAGCTTGCATGTTTTGTGCTGCAGTAGCAGTGTGCCTTCTTTCAGCTCTCTGCTGAAATGGCAGACAACATTATGGATTCAAAGTTCCCACTCAACCCTTAATCTACTTGAATATGGCCTCTATTTTATGCTCAGATTATGTATTCAGGTGTTGGGAGAATATGTCCATGAACCCCAGACATTCCTCTATTATTAGCATAGAAGGTTAGATTGGAGCAGTGCAAACTTGGTGAGAGAGGGTATTATCACCTTTAGGGGGTCTATCAATATCTAAGGCAGTGGCTTTCAAACATTTCTGGATCCAGACCCATTGTGAGAAATATATTTTACTTCATGACTCATTTCAAGCATGCATATATATAACTGAAATAAAGTTTACACAAAAGAGTATTTAACCTTACTACATGCAATTCAATTCTAGTTTAGTTTCATTTTATAGTTTATTCACTATTATAGTAAAGGGGTTCATGGACATATGCCAACACCTGAGAATCACAACCTTCTGTTCCCACACTTAGCCTGGACATTGAAAACTAAAACCACACTTTATTGTTTACACAAATATGACTTTGGTATTCTATTGTATTCATTACTATGACTTTACTTTTCCAGGGCTCCCCTGCTCAAGCAAATATTCTATTACAGGAACATCCTGAAAAATCCAACGAGTTCTTCAATTGAAAGCATCAACAGAGAGTTTAAAATGCCCTAAGAGTCTTTTAATCCCTCACTTCAAAATCCATGTCTTGCTGTTTCCATCAACCCTGGACTGTGGTATTATACTCATTACCTAATTCTAATCAAGTCCCTGCATTAAAAGACCTACCTTGTGGCGCCTGGGTGGCTCAGTCGGTTGAGCGTCCGACTTCTGCTCAGGTCCTGATATCATGGCTCATGAGTTCAAGCCCCGTGTTGGGTCCTGTGCCGACAGCTCAGAGCCTGGGGTTTGCTTCAGATTCTGTGGCTTCTTATCTCTCTGCCCCCTCCACTCATGCTCTCT